GACTCACTGGAGGACCTCGTTGCATGACTAACCATTGCGGCTGAAAGCATGCGCGAAATGCCTGTCGTTTTTCAAAATGTTCGTCAATCCCTTCTGCGACGTTACCAAGCAAGTATTACTGCTGGTGGTCGCAATTTTGAACATTTATTGTGAATACTGTATTGCTACAAAGAAGTTGATTTGCGTTGATTTTGTACATAAGCACATTTTCCTCTCGTGTAGTATTTTTTTTTTTTTTTTGCGTTCCTGCCTTAACCCGTCACTTTAGACCCTACATTCCTATAAAAGAATGCATGTTTCAGTACGCTGCACTACCCCTCCAAGTTTGTCTCATGATCTATGAAACACCCTGTATATATTAATAGTTTGGGATATGGCTGAGGCCCAAGAATACATTTCTTTTGGCCTTCGGCCACCTTTGCGCCACCAAAGGCGCCTCACTCCACAAGCCTGGCCTAACTAGCCACGCCCAATGAAGCTGGAGATCTCAAAAAAGCAACAACCAATCACATCAGCGCAATGGGTTCGAAGTATGGCAAAAAAATCGCCCCTTGTCATTAGAATACAGCTGCTGGGGAAGGGTATCAGGCGTTCCCAGAGCAGATCAAAGTTCACAAATTTGAAAGGTTCGGAATTCTTGAATTTAGCGCGGAAGAGCTCTTTTGCGCTAGTGGTGAAGAAATCCGCTCGGATGTGGTTTTACAGATGTCGATACGAGCAAAAGCCTCCTCTAGGAACACCGAAAGCACCGAACAACAATGGGCTATAAATCAACCTCGCCCTACCAACTGCCACAATGGCTTACTTCAATTCTGAAAGAGCACGGTGGTTTCCATTAGAATGGCATAAAATTTCGAATTTATAGTTAAGTCTAAAATTATAAAATGTTAATAAATAAGTTAAAAAGCAAACATACTTTTATTATACTTTTATTTTAATGTCTCTAATTAATGTTATTCACATTGCACTTAATGCATGAAATTTATAACGCATCTACACTCATGTCCATAAATTAAGGATAATGCATAATCAGGCAAAAGAAGAGTTAGAAGCAAAACAAATTTGACTTATTTGTAAAGCTTATGTATTAAACAAAAGGTAAAGAACAAAAAAATACGCTATATGTTTGATATTATTAAAAAGTTAGCGCTTTTTTCTCCCTGGAGCAAATTATAAAAAAAAAAAAAACCCTATTTACAAAAAACCAATATTACATGGTTGGTATGATTGTTAATACATTGTATGTCTCCCAGACGATGCAATACAGTCCGTACAACGCCTAGGCATGCTGAGTATCAAATTATCGATCTGATCTTGGGGGATATTACACCACTCAAAAAGCAATGCTCTCCGAAGTTCCGGTAGACATATAGGAGGAGGTTGACGGGCTGCAACTCGTCGGCCAAGCATGGCCTACACGTGCTCTACTGGATTCAAGTCCGGTGAGAATACTGGCTAGTCCATACGGGTGATATCCTCCGATTGAAGGCATTCGCTTACGATGTTTGCACGGTGAGGACGGGCGTTGTCATCCATAAACACAAATTGTGTGCACATGGCGCCCCGAAACAAACGTACATGTTGTTCCAGAATGACGTCCAGATAGATTTGGCTTGTCATGGTTCCAAGTTGAACATGCAGGTCAGTTCTGAAAGCCATCGTAATTCCACCTCAAACAAGCACTCCTGCACCACCGTAACGGTGTCGTTCAATGATGTTTTCTTGGTGGTAACAGGTACCTGGAACTCTCCATATGAAAGTCCGGGGAGAATCAGACTGCAAGCTAAACCTGGACTCGTCGGAAAACATCACACAAGCCCACTGTTGCGGTGTCCACAATGCATGCTCTCTACTCCAGGCTAACCGCAGGCGACAGTGAGTTGCAGTAAGTGGAACGCATCTGACAGATCTACGAGCATATAAACCAATCTGCCCTAAGCGTCTGTACACGGTCTGCCTTGAAATTGTCGTACCAGTGGCTGAAGAGAGCTGACGAGACAGGTCTGAGGCTGTGCTCCGCCTGTTTCTTTTGGCAGTAACTACCAAATACCGGCCCTCATTCGGCGTTGTAACTCTGGGGCGACCTGTGCTGTAACGTCTACTCACATTACCATCATCTTGGAATCGTTGCTAAAGCCTGGAGATGACACTCTGGGCAATTCCAAGTTCGTCTGATACTTCCAGTTGGATACGCCCACATTCCAGACGGCCGATAATTCTACCACGTAAAAAATCATCCAAATGCGTCCTTTGTGTCATAACTATTCGGTTATTGCACTGAAATGCTTATAAAGCGCCTGCGAACAATTTTACTTCTTTGCCTGTATTCCTTATATATCACACTCTTACACTCTCGTCATTGTGACGTACCGGTGTCATCTGGTTACTTTTTGAAATTTGCATATGATTCTTGAAGATGTGTGTAGTGATTTTACAGGTGATATAATTATTTTAGAGTTCCAGTTCTGCGTGACTCAGAATTATCCTTAATTTATGGACATGAGTGTAATTGGTGATATTTACAAACATCTGCACCATTTTCATGCTCAACGGTAGCGGAATAGCCCAGGTTCAGATCCGACGAATGTTCAGTCTCCATAGGAGTTTTCTTGTATTTTCTCCTCGCAGCGTAAATGCAAGCTTGTTTCTCTTATAAAGCTCTTCACAAAGGTATCTTTTCCCTTACGCAGAGAGCCCTCACATACTTAGCCACAATCCAAATGGTCATTATTATAATTAAAATAGAGATCTTTCCAATTCCAAGTACTTACGCCGCATAACAGCCTATTTTTAATCCACTGTACGGAGGTAACTTGGTCGGAGTTTGAGAGGCGATATTATTAATTTTTTCCATGATATTTTCATTGTTGGCATTTAAATCACTGACAGTAACTGTATGTTACTTTTTTCAAAGTTTAAATAAATAAATAAATGAACCACTTTTTTAAGCGATACTGAATTTGAGATACAAAAATGTGTCAAGTGACAATATCAAAATTTCGGTTGCTATAGCATGAAAGTCCTATAAATTGTCAAATGGTTTTAAAGATTTATTTTGATGACACGGGCAAAACATGTAACTTTCTTATCATATGAAGTATTAAAAATTCTTCTGAAAAACATTTCATAATAATTTTCTGTTTAACCATATCTGATCAATTTTACAGTAAAAGTAGCTTAACCTTTTTATAAACAAGACAAATACGGAGGCTGAAGGAAATAAAAATTCTGTGAAAGGAATTAACTCGATTAGTTTAATTAAGGAAATTAATGAAGAGTTTCAGCCAATACTGTTACTTTCATCCCTTTATACTGACATTCACTTAATTTATAAGTTTTATTTATTTGTTACATACAGGGCAGATGCTTAATAAAATTATCAGTCGAAATTCCAATAGAGGTAAATATAAAAATTCGAATTAAGAAGTTACGACATTTAATTCTGAATACCAGTGGCGGCTCGTGGCTAAAATTAATGGGGGTGCTGTTCCAAAAAAATTTAACCTTTGTTTTAAAATTGTCTAAAAGGAAACAAACATTTATAAAAACTAAATTTATTTTGAAACTTCATGAAATCTTACAAAAAAAAAAAATTAAACATTTCTTAATTAATTTAACCAAAATTGTTACAGTTCAGTGTTTGTCTAATCATTTAAAAATGAAATCCATTCTTCTTGTTTTAATTTGCGCGAAAAGATCAATAATTTTCTCCTTGATCTCTGGATGATAACTGAGGAAATTTTTCTTTATTGAAAGCCATGCAAGCGCATTTAGTCTTTCCGAATTCCTACTGCTTCTTAGAAAAGTTTTTATTCTTTTCAATGTTGAAAAGCAGCGTTCTGCCTCAGATGTAGTCATGGGACCTCTCAAGAGAATTTTTATTAGTTTCGTAATTTCACTAAGAACATCATCTAGATTATTTTCGAAGATAAATTTCAGTAGCGCAGTATTCATGGATATCAGACCTACAACAGAATACTTTTAACTCAGTTTCAAGCTTTTTTTTTTTTTTTTTTTTTTTTTTTTTTTGTCAATTATTGGATATGCTTTAGTGGTCCGTACTATTTCTTCTGTAGAATGTTCATTCCTAAAACTAGCGAAACATTTCTTGTTTAACAATTTAGCAGCTGATAAGTGTTTAGTGGAAGAATATCTGTGCATTATATCAATACATAGTTATAAAGTCACATATTTCCTTAGCTTCTGCCATCGATGTCTTTCAGAAATTCTCACAGTACTTTGAAATTCTTAATTCTAAAATAGTAGTTTTGAAATTTGTTATATATTCGTTAATTTTAAACACATTAATTTCTCTGGATTGCATTTAGTTGTATATTATTTCAACATGAGGCATCTGATAAAAAAGCTCTAACCAAAACTTGAAATTATCACCATTTAGATATTTTAAAATTCCTGTTGCTTTTGCAATGGGAACAATTGTTTCATTTGTTGTTGTTGTTTTGCATTTGATGTTGATTGAATTTCAGTAAGGCAATTTTTTAAAGGTTGAAAATTTTCATGAACTCTGTGGTCCGTATGATGAAGTTCCTCCTTGTGGAGAAATACCACACGCGTGGAGTAAAAAGAAGTCACGCTTCCAACAACATGCCAGAATTTCGGCACTGCAACAGCGACAGTGCAATTCTCTCTGCCTGATTCGCGTGCTGTTTTCTGTGTACGCATGCGCAGAACAGCCAAACATTACGTCGCTGGAACTGTGAAGCGCACAGTTCCAAAGACTTTCGTACGTTTCTCACTAAGTGGGGGATGGCTACTGACATTAAGCTTAAGGATTATGTATTCTAAAAGTATAAAGAAAGAATTAAAGACTAAAGGACACACTGTATTAAATAATAAAATTAATGATAACTGGAAATAGGGGGTGCTGCAGTTCCACAGTGCTTATTACGAGCCGCCACTGCTCAATACAGTAGGTTACAGAAACACATTTACAATATTTTACCAAAATATTTGAAAGTTTTAGTTTGGAAGATATTTACCAGTTTCGCTGTATATCATTTAGGGCAATCGTCAAAAAAACAACACTCGCAATCCGATCTTGTTGGACCTGTACATCTACCGCTGGGAAAATCGTTCCTTATACAGAATGCAATACAGTCCCTTTCTTCTTCATGGCATCGATAAGCTGTTATAGTTTCGATGATGGCTATAAAACGTCATAAGATAATTGTTCTACTTTGCATAATGTCAATAAAATAGACCTGACAACAGCAGGTGAGAAAATAAAATACACTACTGATCATCCAAATTACAGCATCACTAAGGAAGTTTTCATAAAACCTATAGAAATTTGCACAACGCATAGACTTTCAGTAGGGCATTCAGTGTACTGTGTGTATACAAATCATGTGCTGCAACCTAGAAGTACTATAAAAAGGGAGATCAGAAGTCTGTTTTAAATACTGGAATTATGTAGTTTTCTGCTGTTCATATTCTGTGATAAGCTTCAGTATGTCTTGCCGAAAAAAAGAGCAATCATGTAAGAACATTTCTGAGTATGACAGAAAAAAAAAATTGTAGCTTATAAGTGAAATGATCCTTCCAAGAAATCAGGGCTGGTGTTGGATGAAATAAAGCAGGACAGATATGACTATGGAATCGGCGAGTTCAAGACGGAATAATTGACAGAAGAGAACGATTGCATGCGATCGCGAATCAAAGGACAGACTTGTGCGCATGGCAATGGAAGATCTCACAGTAACATCAAGAACCCTGATGCAGGAATTAGGATTTATTGCAAAACAACCTGTGCTAGTATCATTTGATGCTGTCCATAGAATTGATTTAGTTTTCACTTACCTTAAAGTGCGCGAGGGCTATCTGCCTAAACAGAGGGATGCATTCGTCGAAGACTTACTGAGGGAAAATGGTTCGTATCTACGTTACATTATGAAAAATCTACGAAAAAGTCCTTGCAGTCAGCCAGGATTTGAACTCCCCTCAAACTTTCAGTAATCGACGATCTTAATCACTCACCATTCGGTCCCTTGTCGATCTGTCTGCAGAAAAGGAGAATATTTTGAAGATATTTATTACTGGGATTACCGTTGACTCTGTACCATAAGCGTATGCTGCTGCAATCAGTGCGTTCAACACCGGGCACTGACAAATGAAAGGCACGACATTGTCTTTTCAGACAAATCTCGATTCTGCTTATAACACCGCTATGGTTATTCGAGTCTGGCGGAGCTTTGCGAATATTATAACTCTTGCTCTTTGTATCGCCATACCGGTTCTGTGATTGAACTTATGGTGTGGGAATAACGAGCGTTTATTCCCACACCCGTGTAATAGGCATTGTCAGCACACTCAGAACCCATCTCTAATCTTTAAAGTTCTGGAGCCAGTTATCTCTCTTATCGTCAAGGCTGGACTGCGGCTAGATTTCAGTAGGACAACTAGCAATTACCAATTACCAATTCATCAAGTCAATTACCGAAAACAAATGCCAGCATACAGTACCTTCAGCTATGCTAAATGAATTTTGGCAACGTATGGAAACAGCATAAAGACTGAAAGACTCCAAGCCTATATGCAAAGCTTCTTTCCTTCACTGCCAAACTGTGTCAAAACTGCCATCGATTGTGGCTATACAAAATACTGATTCCTTATGTTCTGCAAGTCAAACAGGCCGTAATTTTATCGAATACATCCTTGTACATTATTATCTGTCCAGTAAATGTGGCTTTGATAACTCCGGCTCTTAACGTTGCTACAATTTGGATGGATAGCAGCGTATTAAAATCAGGTTTTAAAATGTTGTACAGTGAGACATAAAATAATTATTATATTAAAATTTAAATGTATAATTGAAAATATAATTCTTTTAATTAATATGCTTCATCAGTTTTTAAAATATTTACAGACAGTTCCTGAAAAACAAAATTATATCGAAAAATTAATATGTACATCATTAAGCGATCCTATATTACAAAAACCTAAAAAGTAAGCAATTGCATTGATGTTAGAAATATCCTTACCACAGTATTTCTAAAAGTTTAAGCCACAAAACCCATTACATTATGTTAAGCATCATTCATATGACATCCGTAGATACTGAAATGTGGCACCACTGAGCGAAGAATAAAATCTTTTATTCATCATATACGTGTCATGGTGCATAATCAGTTCTCATAGCTCTGGCGTTCAGCAAAAATTATCAATCTGTAATTAACGTGTAATATAAGCAATTAAAAAGGCATAAACGCATTTCTTGATAATTTAAACTTTTATTTTATATATTTTTCATAACGCTGTAATTGGATTAAATTAAATTTATTTAATTAATAATAATTCCGATTGATAATTTTTATGAACATATCCACCTTAATCGTTATTAATAACTGATGATTCCAAGGCAAAAAATTAGGCGTCTGATACAGAATTGTTCGATTTTTAAATGCAATGCAATGAGGGGACGTTCTGTAGGAGATAAATGCGTTTAATGATATCAGTTCCAGTAGCTTTTAAAACGTGTTTTATTTTTTCTTAGAACGGAGATGCATTTAATTGTTGAATTTCTTTTTCTCATTGGTATCTTGATTCTTTACCTTCTTTGGAACTTACTCAGAATTATATATTCGACACTCTACACATGTGTTTGATAACATGCTTTTCTTTCTTCCAAAGATATTAACTGACATTATTCCAAGGACAATACCTTAAGGGGACTCATACACCTTAAAACTAGCAAGACCTTCGAATATGTGACTGTTGCAAGAATAGGGATAACTTATTTATTTTAAAAGCAATTACTTCCAACTTTTTACAGCTGACTACATAATATAGCTGCTTTCTGAAATAGTCATCAGAAAGTTTGTGTTGCCAAAAATATTTTAATAATTTACTCCGCTTTCTGACAAAAGTTTTCGTCCTGTTTCCACCTTGCGCGCACAGTTTAAAACATTCTGTTGCATAATTTAATTCTATATTTAATATATAACATTTATAACATTTGGAAACTATTGGAAACCTAAAATTCTAAAAATTTTATGTTAAATTTTTATTTTATTTTGAGTTGAGTTTATAAAATGTATTTTGTTAAAAAAATCTGTAATGTTTTCGTCCATAAATTTTTTCAATATTAAAATATTCATCAGATTTTGGGTTCAGTTAGAAAATAGTGCCTATATAAAAAATTCCATCCAATTTCAAGGATGTACTATTAGCCATTTTTAAAATATCATGCGCGCAAGGTGGAAACATGGCGAAATATTTTGTCACAAAGGGGATTAAATTACAAAAATATTTGTGGCAACACAAACTTTCTGGTTACTAGTTTCAAAAGCAGCTATATTACGTAGTCAGCTGTAAAAGGTTGGAAGTAATTGCTTTTAAAATAAATAAAATATGCCAATTCTTGCAACAGTTGCATATTCGAAGATCATAAGGGGTTTAAGGTGTATGAGCCCCCTTAACGGTTCCTCCTATTTGCTTCCAAACAGCAACACCGAGCCTGAGATTTAAATGACATTACAGAGTAGCTGTTTGAAGCTTTTTATTCTTGTAAATTTTAATGCTCTCACTCTTCCCTAGCAAAATAAGGATATCAAGTCATGAGGCAGGGAGATCGAAAATGTAATAGAAGACCACTGTTCTTGTTGAATAATGCACAGCACGTACTGCAAAGGACGTTTGATTCCACTGGTCTAGTCGTTTGTTTGCTTTCCTTCTGCCACTTAAATCACTTATATATTTGCTTGTTGCTGGTATAATATATATTTATTTAAAAACGAATTCGCAACAATTTTAATGGACGTCTTTCTGAGGGGAACTACCATAAATTTTGAGAAATAATCTATAATGATAACCAAATATCCGTTTTTATTTATTTATTTATTATTTTTTTTAACTACGAATGTAAAGACGTTTTAAATGAATTTCTATATGACTTCGTTAGGGAATGTGGCTTTTAAGCTATTTAAGTGCCTCGCTGGTTATAATTAATGCCGTTAATTAATTGTAAAGTACTTCAGCATTTGACAGGTTTAGTTACAAATCTGTGTAGCTATGCAAAAACAAACAACTTCCGCTTTAGAAGGACCCACTAGTTCATCTTCTGCGCGTTTTTAGCTTCTCGGGGAAAAACGCTAACAAGATCATATAAACAGATCTTTCTTTGGCACAGACAAAACTGCAGCTGGTATGCATTTCTGTTTATACAGACGGATTGAAAGGAACTAATCATGTTGGAGCATCATTTGCAATTGGCAGTCATATGGAGAGCATACCTTTGTATAATGACTGCTTAATTTTCACTTTTGAATGAATTGCTGTATATTATGTTCTTTTTGTAATTTCTAAGCTATGCCATAGGAAATTCTTAATTTATATTGACTCGTTTAGTGCATTAAAACTTCGCAAACATTTTCTGACGATCAGAGGACTAAACCTTCCTGAAGTTTTAAAGCTAAATTTATACTTAAACAGATATCAGATTCTTTACTGCTGGATTCCTGAGCATGTAAGAGTGAAAGGTAATGACCTATCAGATATCACAGCAAAGTTTGCTGTGGAACTGTCTAGACAATTCATTTCTTCCTGAGATATTAGCATTACCATCGAGTAGAAGATCTTAAATTAGTATGAGGAATGAAGGCCATGGCTTCATCTGTAACTTCATAACTAGTTAAGAACTGCAATGTTTTGAATGGAAAATTGGATGACCCATAGAAACCGGACGAAGGGATCCCCTTTAATTGTGTTAGAATTGATCATTTTTAACTTATTCTTAATTATTTTCTAAAAGCTGGAAGTGAATCTCTTTGCTCAAATTGTAATGCTGTCCCCACTTATTACAAATATCCAGAGACGATTAAGATGAAACGCAGCTTTCCATATCAGTCTCCGCTGGGTCAGAGCCCACGTTTGTCTTGAGAGCAGTGATGGCAAAGTGAATGAAACGCCAGCGAACATGGAAAATGAACTTACGATTACATTCCTAGAGTCACCACGCTCCGATTCTACTCAAGTCCGCAACTCATTCGCTACATCTTTAGAATGAATTGCTTTATTTTGTTAATTTTATATTGCTCATTATTGCGCAAAATTTGAGTTGCAAAATCTCTACATATAATAAAAGAAAGCGTCTGTGTGTGTGTCTTTCGTTCGCGCTGCGCGTAAGCTAATAGACTCGCCCGAAATTTGGTACATAGGTGCATCTAGTCTTGACAAGAGCCACTGCACCTCGAAGCGATTTTTTCAAAATTCGAATTCGAATTTTTTTTATTTTATGTTTTGTGACGAAATCGCGTCATTTTGAGACATAATGGGCTATAGGAAAACAAGATTTTACTCTACACACTCCATTTTCACATCGTCATGAAACGTAGGCACTTAGCTATTTTACGAACTTAAAATAAATTTCGTGTTTCAATAAGTCGATTAAATACGAATTTATTTAACAAAGGGAGCTTAACATCTTTCTAACGGGATTTTTTCTAAAAAAGTTTATTTTTAAATATGTACAGTTTATTTTTCTTTGATTTTTGGACACATTAAACTTTCATCCTTGCGACTGCTTTTACAAAAAGAATTTTGGAAAAATGATAATATTTTATATTTTTTAAAAAAAAATTTTAAACGAAGCTTCCGAGTACACTTCTCACATCTTTAAAAATGTGATTTTGGCAACAATTTTCCTGTCTTATTGTTGTTGATAGATTGTGGATGAAATCGCATCATTTTGAATAGTTTCATTCTTTTAGAAATATGGGTTTGGCAACAATTTTTCATCGTATTTCTTATGTCACTGTTTTTAAGAGATTGGCAAATTTCATTGTCATTTTTTATATATATAATACATTTTTGTTGATTTTTTTTTAAATAAAATTGTTCTGCAGAGTAAAATTTTGCGCGGATTTTTTTTGTTTTTTGAGTTACTTTCATGTTATTTTTTGCTTATTTCACTATTTGTAAGATATTGAAAAGTTTTGCATGATTTTTTTTCTTCAACGGAAAGTTGGTTAACTTTTTTATTAGGATAATTAATATTTGTATTTAGGGATATAACTTATTTCATTGTAATTTTTTTCTCTTGAAAATATAAGATAAAATATCATTAATTATACTTTGCTCTTCAGAATTTTTGTTTTTTGTATTCTTTTATGTTATTTATTGCTCATTTCACTGTTTTTAAGATATTGAAAAGTTTTGAGTGATATTTTTAGGAAACAAAGTTCTTAACCTCCTTTATACCATTTGAGTTCTTAAGATTTTGCAAAGGGAAGTTGGTTAATTTATTTATTAGGATAATTAATATTTGTATTAAGGGATATTGCTTATTTCATTGTAATATTGTTATATGTAATAACTTTTTTTTTATAAAGTTGTTCTGCAGAGTAAAATTCTACGCAGTTTTTAAATTTAACGTTTGGTGTTTCCTTCAGCCATTTTCCCGGTACATTTAAAAGTCAGACGAAGGCTGGCAGCGAAGCTGTTAGTAAAACCATAAAGCAATTGATCAACCTTCGCTTAATCTTTATTTATTATTGTTTACTTTCGTTTAATCTTATCTTCAAGTCACAAAATGCAGGATGCTTATAAAGTCCCGGACCCATTTTGATGTTTAATAACTCATAAAATAATAAAGATAGATTAAAATTAATAACATAAATGGTTAGATAGACTCAAAAATTTTATGACCCTTGTCAATGAACTTCCACGTGTGCCCCCTTCGTCGCACGGAGAATATCAAGTCGATATTCAATTTCACGCCAGGTACCGGCAAGCATGTGTTGTGGTATATGCATTCTCCTTAATATCCGGTCGAATAAAACATCACATGCAAAAGTACTAGAACAAACACATCAAAAGTAAACATAAAACATTGCAATAGTTGCCAAAAACAAAAGAGAGAAAATGCAATTAATAAGCAGACGATATTTAGAAAAGTACAGATGAAAAATGAAATTATCTGAAATTAACCACACGCGCAGACGATATATACAAAAGTAAAGATATTCAAACCTGAAAAGGAAAATATATAAGTTACTCCATCAATAAATGCGATAAGTTTGTTTATATCTTCTTTATTTTATGAGTTATTAAACATCAAAATGGGTCCGGGACTTTATTGCAGCGAGTTTCACGCGTTCGCTTATTCGATTCTTTAGAAAATTGAAGAATTCCTACAGCAAATTTAAAGCAAGATTAGTATGTTGGTTAACTTTATAAATTGTGCAATTCATTAAAAATATTTTTTTCTTTCTGTGTGATTATGCGTCGATTTAGAGTAACATATATAACAAGATTCTATCTACTTAAGACTATTGTATCATTGACACTAATTCTATCTACTTGAGACTATTGTATCATTGTAAATATTGCACTTGATTTTAAATTACTAACAGTCAAGTCCGCTACATAAAAACCAATTTATAACGAAACCTTAATTTTGATTGAGTTCAGGTTCTTTTGTACAAAGTAATTTATTCAGCTTGCAGCATATTTCCAAGCACTTGAAAATCAACTACGCTAAAACCGACCAGCTACTCAAAAGAGGTACATAGAACTATTCTTGTGTATCTCTTATGTAAGCTGATCCGTTTCCATTTGCAGTCCCATAAATAGTTATATAGCCCTATAAATAGATAAAAATTCATATCGGCGAGCTCTGGGACCATGTAAAGATGCATGCTCAAAAACGAGCAGGGAATGAAGATGAAGATTTCTGCACTAATATTCCGTTACAATTTTTTTTTTTAATCTCGGTCCCCTCTAAAATAAATTCTCCAAAATAAAGTATTAAGAGCATTGCTTAAGTTTGAAGTCATTAGATAAATAATTACGAATTTAAAAGTTTAAAAAAGGAGTGACTTACCCAATGTTGCTATAAAAAGGAAAGTAAGAGCTACAGCACAGAATTTCATACTTTTCATATTCTTTTTGAAGAAAGAAAATTAACTTTAGCAGAATAAAGCTAGAATAAAAATTATCAACCGAATTAGTGTGTAACAAAGAGTAAATTAAAAGTCAAATCTTTTTTTAACCAAGTACGACATGTATGACGTTAGAAAGATCGTTTACTATTAAAAAATTAGAAAATATCTAATCAAATTATCATTTAAATATTATTAAAAATTAAATGTAATTAAAATTATAAAATGGAGTGTACTTAAAATCATATTATAAATTAAATGTATTTAAAATCATGTTAAATATTTAATATATTTAAAACCATTTTATAAACTAAAGGTATTTATAATTACATCATTTATGCAGATTTTAAAAATAACATTAAACGGGAAAAGACATTCAGGATCGTTGGGCACCTGTAGTTAGCCCTATAATGTGAAGCAACGCAGTACGCCGTTAAATTAAAAATACATCATTAGATACACCACTAAATTCAAACTAAACTGAACGCCATCGGTGACCGTCAAGACTTAGATCTGTCATCGAAGACTTAGACTTTCAGTCTTAAGAAGACTTAAGAAAAAGAACTTAAGAGTCTTAAGAAGACTTAGACTTTCAGTCTTAAGAAGACTTGTCACTTGTCATCGAAGACTTAGATTTTCAGTCTTAAAATCATCAGTAACTCACACGCTGATAATTAATTGAGAGTAGACAAAGTTACCAGTGCTTTAATGCAGAGTCAACAGGAGCTGACCTTTGACTTCGATGCTTTGATATTTGGATATGGACTGGCAGCGCATCAGATAATCGCCAGGTGGAGTAACGATGAATACACAACCTTAGATGAGAGTTCTAAAAGAATAAATGCATATTAAGTAATAAAAGACCCATGCCTAGGAGAATTAATATTAAGTAAATAATAAACTCATACCTAAGGGAAAGGCAGTCGAACTGTCAGTCAGGGGGGAAAAAGATTTCTGCAAATCGAGTCCATCATGTGCCGCAGTAAGGGGATTAAATAAACAAGGAGGTTGAAAAAATTGGTATTTACGTATTAACGCAATCACCTTGGCGCAATCTGGCAACTTTTGTGCAGATGAAAAGTTACTTATCGATGAAATCCAGTGGTTTTCGCGAATTTTTTTAATGGAGATTCCCAAACTTCTGATATTTATGGTAAGTTGCCAAACGTTATCAATATGTAAAAAGGAAATATACTTCAGTAATTTAAAATTCCAAATTTAAATAATTCGATAAGTATTGCGTGATACATTAAAAATAAAAACTGAGATTTTTTTTCTAAATCTTTCTGTAATTTTTTGGACTATCTTTCTCTCCAAGTACCTAGCGATCGGTTTACAATTAAAACAGCAGAGAACTGCAGGAATAAACTATCTCACACACTCCGATAACATCGGCCATCTACCAACCGCATCTCCTCGTTGTTTCCCTTTAGAGATTTTGCATCAAAATTCTGTATTCCTGAAGAAATTTTACCGCAGTTCTTCCGTTGTTTGCAAATAATCCAAGCGCATATTTTAAAATACGTAAGGCATAAAATATCACGATTTCTGTATAAAAACCTTTGCAATACAACAAACACAGCGCATGCGAAAATGGCGACGTTGCTTGCCTGAAGGATTATTCTGAGGATGGTTCTGTGATGAACTGTTATAGTAAATTCTCAGTTGTGTTTGCCTTTGTGTATCTTGTTTCTAGGTTCGCGTAAGATCGGGTGCCTCAGCTTTGATTGAGCATTTTTTATCGCTAGAGGTAGTAAATATTGAAGACGAGGTTCTTGGAAATTTTCTCTGTTATCTTGACCTTTTACGTAATTTTTCACATCCAGAAAATTTCTGGGATGGAAAAGATGGCATCTCAGGAGGATAGGCTCTTCATCAGTTCACAAGTAAGATTTTCATTTCAGTTCACAAGTAAGTTTGTGTCAAAAGTTCTCCAGAGCACTTGAGACACCTAGGTTAACGCACGTCACGTTATATGTCCATGAACAAACTTTTGACATCTAAAAAACTGTATGAGTAAACACCGGGCATTATAATTCTCGATTCTATTCAGTAGTTTACGGTTTCTAAATTTTTCGGCCTTCTGTAACGTGAGAGCTCCACAAAATAAATAGGGAGTTTTTTGAGTACATCATGATTCTTTCTTGATAACTGCTGGACCTTTCTGGCAGGAATGTTAAGTCCAGTAAGGGCATCCAGCGTAGCTTTTTCCTCAGTGTTCTTTTGACTGTTACACTCTATGAGTTTAAAATCTGTATCACACCTAGAAGCCGAATAGAGCGAATAGCCTCAATAGAGCGCCGAAATAAGCATTTCCGAGATATGTAATTGGTTGAATTATGAGAAAATCAGTTCTTGGAAGAAATGATATGACGAATATAGCTTCAAATGAAATATTTTTATATCAATTTCAAAAACTGCAACAGTAATGCTTGAGTGTACCTGTGAGAACGAATAAGTTGTATATGGGTGCTGTTGCATTTTTGACGATGCAATATTTGCGAAGAATTGTCATCTTCGATCAAGTCATAGATCATTGGTGTTGCTGCAATATAGTTAACTAGATTTTTCCATTAAATCTAATTCAGAGTGCACCGGTGTCATTGACACTTTTGTTGGTCACAGACAGGGCCGAATTGATACTGATGGAGACCGCAGGCGCTTAGAAGGTTTTGGTATCCCCCACGTAATATTTACAGTATAACACCTGTTTTTTTTTTTTTTTTTTTTTTTTTTTTTTTCATTCCATTTCTTCAGGATTTTAGTGTAGCTGTGCTATACATTCCTTGGTAAAACGAGGAATGATAATTTTTTATAGTGTCTTCTTTCCTTGACCATTTGCTCGTTTTGCTTAATGGTTAATCCAGCTCTAGTCACAAGTTACCTAGAAGCTGATGGTCACTGGTATTCAATATATAAGGCACCGATGGGAAAATGAGCAATGTTTTAGGCATTTAGGTCTGATTCACCTCAGGTATACAACTACTTTGAGTTTTGACCTGTTCAATCTGTGCCGCCTATGATTACAGAAAAAGTTTTAAATCGTAATTAAACTATAGAACTTTCAGCCTATCAAAGCAATTGGTAATCGGTAACCTGTGTGTATTGGCGGTCAATAAAAAGATTACTAACGTAAGGCAATGCGATGCATTGCTAAGGATAAGCTGTAGAACACCACTGATGGGTCACACAAACCCACGGTAATCGATTTCTGTCAACGCGTCTTACGACGTTCTGAGTTTTTCTAACACAAAAGTTTATTTAAAACGTTTAATCTACAGATGAATTTCACTAACAAACATGTTCATTTTGTTTAACTAATACAGAATTTGACAACAAGACTTATTGGACATGCTTCTTCAGAATTTTTAAATTTAAAATTCTCGTTTCTTAACATCATTTCTCTCTCAAAAGTTCAAAATGTGTTCCGAAGAGTTAGGATACCAGAGGTACTTCTTTACAGCTATCAAAAGGAATTCACAACGTCCTACCCCTCATAAACTATAACTTCATAAATTAAATATAATTTATTAATAACACAATAACTACTTATAATGACCATTATTCAATACTACATTAAAAATAACTGCACTATTACAGTAAAAAATAACTAAACAGTAATGATGGATCATAATAATACGAAATGTAGGGTTTTATGACAATTATAAATCATAGTTTTTGAAATATTCCAATGAATCAGTTATCAGCAACTATTTTATTCTCAAAGTTCTAATGGATACATATCTTGTCCGGTTTTCTTAGATCATCAAATTCCAGTTTTACATTGCATGAGTGGCAACGTTCAAGGTTGTCATCTTCGCCCACGACATTACGACAATAATAACATTTCATACTATTTCACAGTTATGTGACCTCCGATCACATTTTCGGATTCAACATTGTTCTTGAATGAAATGTTTGATATGAGAAGTCTCACCTTTCCAGCAATGAAGCCTCAAATGGGGCGATTTTTAAAAAACGCTTCTTCTAATGTAGCCTGAAATGGAGCATAACCTTCATAATCATATTATTACCAACGACTGTGAGTTTTTATTCATCAAGCTAAGGCACAGCAATATATGTTGCAGTGGCAGCACTGTATTTTCACCTTATCCCTTAAAATGTTCCAAATAGGTGCATGATAAGTACAAAGTAGCGTAATACAATGCAATGGTAACCATGAAGTTATGTATCGTTGCAAAAATTTTTGAAAGTCTGTTCTGAAGACGAACGTTTCTAGTCCCCAAAAATGGTATAAGGTTATATGTTTCATGCTTCTTAGTGCATATGTTTAAAAAAAAGCATTAACCCACCCACCCCCATTTCCTAAAACTGCTGGCCAAAGCAAATCCCATTTTCCCCCTTTTTTTAGCCCGAAATTGTTCACAAAACATCTTCTGTTGAAGAATTAGATTTCTTAGAAGCATTTCGCATTCATAAAAATCTTACACTTTTGGTTAATAATCCCAATGCTAGTCTGCTTTTACCTTCAGTTTTTGAAGAAATTATTTCATGGTTACTTTCACTTTTTGTCAATAGATTACTCCAGTGTCTTCGTCTCCTCTTCCTTGGCTGGAATTTTCGAGAATTTTTGTGCTTTTTTATCGCTTGAGCACATGTTTACCCTTCGTCATTTTCACTTCTCAGCTGTGGAAACTATAATCCTAAAAATTTACGCAATTTAAGCTGATTCTTGTTGCCATAGTATCTTTAACCTTTGTTCTTCGGCGTTTTGTTTTTTGTTGTAATTAAATATTTTAAAATTCATTCTTGACTGGCCACTGTGGGCTTCTTTATCTGTAGCTTGAAATTTTATCTCAACAATTGAAATTATTTATTCGTCATTCATTTCGCTTTACAGTTGCAGTCGTACATTTCCCATTTCTATAGATAAGATAGTATATTCCATTCCAGTATAACATCGAAGGGAAGCAAGTTTGTAAAGGTATTGATTAACAATGTTTTCATTAATCGTCACTTTTTTTGTTGATGTCGAGAGAAACTCAAGTTTGCAGCTTTATTTGAACAAATGAATTACTCTTCGATTAAGTTATCTAACCAGATTATTAACACTTACAGTTTCTTCCTCACATAGTTTTGTTGTAGCTTAGATTCAAAATTTACTTGAAATTTATAAAATAAAATGAATAATGTCAACAATAATTAAGCACTGAATGTTGTGAGAACTTTTGAAGATTCTCATGTCACATTTTGAGGCTTTGACAGGGAAACCGTGAACGCATTTATTTGACAGGGAAACCGTGAACGCATTTATTTGACAGGGAAACCGTGAACGCATTTATTTGACAGGGAAACCGTGAACATTTTATACTAAATATGATAATGTTCTTATCTTATCAGAATGTTCTTATCGCATCGGCACTAAAATTCAGAGGTACACCAAGGGGGGAAAAAAAAATTGTACAGTTCTTATATCAACCGTTCTACTGGGCCGATTGAGGAAATTCAAATTACGTTTTTCATGTCTCGAAAGCGCGATTTAGGATACATATTAGATTTATATATAGCATCATTCTAACATAGGTATTTTGACACAAAATCGGACTTTTTCTGAAATGACATGACAATTTTTTCCATATTTCGATTCTACGACATAATAACGACATAATAACATTCTACGACTAAATATTAAATTTTGTAAAATTTGGTGCGAAATTTACGGAGAAAAATTAGGAATTTGTCTTGGCATATTTTTTTCAGTTTTCGTCAAGAATAATTTAATTGGCGAATTTCTTAATTTATAGCAACCTATTTTCCTTTAATTCTTTTATTTGTAGACCACCGGGGAAAAAGTCATCGTTCATACTTTCAAATAATTTTAACGAAATGCGAATTAACATTAAAAAAAAAAAAAAAAAAAAAAAAAAAAAAAAGATGCTAGATTTCAAAAACTCTCTAACATGTAAATTCATGTATACCTTAAAATTTAAATATGAAAAATAAATGTATATCTTAAAATAAAAACTCTAATTTTTTGCACGTGTGCCTAGAAATACACTACTTTAAGATGATATTAAAAATTTTATAGGTTATAATACCAAATTATTTTGGGAAAATTTATAAAAAATAATTAAAAATATACGTTATAAAAATAAATCATAAAAAATCTGCGAGTTATATTTGGATTAACCCTAAATTTCGAATTCTGGAAGAAGGAATCAGGTAAGTTTAATAAAAAAAAGAAATATTAATCAATATATATCAAATTCAATTAACATTGATGAGCTAAAAGTTTGAGAGGTAATTTTTTAAAAACTACTCGTGCGATTTTTACAAAACTTGGCAGTTTGGCATAATTTGAGTCGTAGATCGAAATGTGAAAAAAATTGGCATGTTATTTCAGAAAATGTCCGATTTTGTGTCAAAATACCTGTATTAGAACAATTCTGTATATAAATCTAATACATATCCTAAGTCGCGCTTTCGAGACAAGAAAAACACAATTTTAATTTCGTCAATCGGCCCAGTAGAACGGGAGCTGTAGAACTGTCTTTTTTTTTTTTTTTTTTTTTTTTTTTTTTTTTTTTTTTTTGCTCAACGTACATTAATGCGACAGTCCCTATTTCTTCATCAATTTGTGATCACATTTCCAATTTGTAATTGAATTTATGATTACCTTTGGATCAAATTTTCCTTTTTATTACTTTTGTGGCTTCGGTCAGAGGGTTAAGATATATTGTTTAATAATAGTATCAAAAAAAAAAACTGAAAACATTTCAGATTTTATATAACGCTTAAAGGGGCGTTTTTTTAACGTTTCGTGTGTTACTTTTATTTATTAAATATCATGTTCATCGCACTTAAACCATAAAATTCAGTTCAACAGCAGTATCGCAAAATAATTTTAAAATGAGCATAATTTTTAGAATTTCCGATACACACTCTCGCGCGCTGGAGATAAAAGTGTTTTTTTTTTTTTTTTTTTTTTTTTTTCTCCGTACAGTGTTGCCATTGCTCGCTTTGATATCGATGAGTTTGTTAATAAAAAATTAATTAAAGTTTTACAAAATATGAAATAGATAATAAAACAAATTTTAAATTTGGGCTTCCAAATCCCCATATTCGGGTGGAAACGTACGTTATTCAAAATTTACTGGCTCTAGGTACCATTATTTTATCACAACGCAAGAAATATACATACATTTATGCAGATTCTTCATTATTTAATTTCTTTAAATATAATGCAGGACTCTAATATTTGGTGGCAACAATTTAAAAAGTGAATCAACGCAAAATGACAAAACGAAATTAAGAGTCCTTTTGGGGCAAATTGCCCCTTTGGACTAATAATATTCCAAATTATTTTAATAAATATACTTTTTTTCATAAATGAACAGTAAATTAATATTACAAATATTTTAAATGAATTTCTCTCACCTTTGCTGAACAAGTGCTTCTGATCTTACAACCAAAATACTTTCTATCGCTTTGTGAAAGCATTTTCGATTTTTATAAGTTAGCTATCATCACGTAATCGTTTAGTTCCTTATTAAGTAGCATGACCAACTGCTTTTGAATGCAAAACAGGAGGCTGTCTCCCCCCCCCCACCTTTCTTCATTTTAGCTTTTGAAAGAGCTACTAAGTTTTCCCATATTGGTATTTTGGACCTTCACAGAACAAACAACATTTCGAAGAATTCTCTAAGTTTATTTATGTGACTCATGCTATTTAATAAGAGAATAATATATTGCCAACTAAGTCAATATAATTGGAAATGAGATTAATTGACTGAAAAACATAAATAATTGTTTCTTAAAAATTTATAATGATTGTTTTGAAAAATGACTCGTGAAAGAATATTTTACAGGGAAAAAAAACAAATGTTTTTAATTCTCTAATGTGAGACAGCACTCGTAAATTGCTTGGCTCTATTATCTAGATGTCGTAAATTGCTTGGCTCTATGCTTTGCAATTTTGCTTTCACCCGTTATTCATTTGCCTTGACATATTACCTTTCGGTGCCTTCGTTCTGGGGTGGTTTGTTAACTTCGTGATGTTTGGCTGCGACCGTTTCTTTTATATTGCCAGCTAGAAGATCCATATCGTTATTTGGACTTTTCTCTAAAAAGCCTAGCCGAAATACCGGGCTACTTGCCATTTCCATCTTTTATCATAGACATTGCTTTCGAAACATAAAATTGTTTTATTTGATTTTATTTGTGATGAATTCACACCATCCCTACCCTTTAAATACACAAATTAACTTGGAAACTTATGAAAAGCTAATTCAAATGTGTAACTCATTTTGTTCCCAAGAATAATTCAGCGATTGTTTTCCCCATGGTTATTTGCAATTTTTAATGTACACGCAAACTAATTTATGTTAGTTTCATTAAACATTCCAAACTTTCATTAAGCGTTAAACATACGAGTAGATAATTTTATTTATATTTCTACTCACGTGCTCTAATGTGGGTCTGAGGCCAATATGGAAACGTCTTTAAATGCTTTATGTCAAGGACAGTATGCATTTCCTTAAATACTTGATTAATAATTATCCTTAAATACTTGATTAATAATCATCATCTGCAATTACTTTTAATGGAGATCTATATTTTAAAATTAACTTATTTAGGAAAGAATAAATTAAACTGCTTGGGGAAAAGCAAGGCGAAATAGAATCCTTTCTGCCCTCTTTTAAAAACTATTATTGATGTTTAACAGAAATTTATGCTTATTTAACTTATTTTTAGGACAAGTGCGTAACAAATTAATTCTATCTAATTCATTTCAAAATCAGATTTCATTTTGCTTAAATATTGTCAGCCTATAATTAAAATCATTAACGAACTGACACATTGCTGAAGATTTGATGTATTCAGTGAAGAATTTATGAAACTGAGGGAGTACACTGCTTCCCAATGTCATTCTTATGATTACGCTGCCAAACAAAAGAAAGTCACGCAGTTCATGGAATATATTGAATCTTAACTAGGATTACTTACTTAATTTCGCTATTAATATTTATATATTTCTTGGAAAACAAGAGCCGGTCAATTATTTCATACTTGCTTGACCTTATTCTAAGTCTTGTTATGTCCACATGTTCAAACTGATCCGTATCCATTAGATATGCATGAACAATTTTTAACTCAATTTAAGATTAACTCTCTCAGTCATGCTTTAAAAGAGAGTCCAAATTTGTAGAAGCCAGCATTAAAGTTGGTTACACTCCTTACTTAATTTGATTCTACAATGTACGTAGGTAACAGTATTTTCATTTCCTGGTTTATATGCTGGATCTTAAAATTAAATTATTTTATTGTATTTTTAACTTCGACTTCATCAACCTGGGGGAAACATTTTCTCGGAATATAGAATTTCTCGAATGATCTATGAAACATGTCACTTGCTCCTTCCCCAAGAACCTTTAAGGAAGAGTTAGAGGAACTTAGAGGTTCTTTGTCCTTCCCGATATAAATTCCAAATTTCTGGACCGAGATGAAGAAGGCGAAAGTCTTTCTGTCTGCTGTTGTATATCGTCTTTGGATGTCATTCAAAGTCATACTGAATTACGTGATAAGCTTATTATTTTGCATGAGTATTAAGGCAACTGTATAATCAGATGCATCATTCCCATAAATAAACACGGATTTCCTCAGCATTGCCTTAAAAATAATACCCACTATCTTCCGAAGTGCAGTGGAATCTACATACTGTTCGATTGGCAATCTATGAAAAGAAAATACTTCGGATTTAGTAATAAACGCTGTTTTACTAACATCCATCAGGCGTCATTGCTGTGTGAAAGAAGCCGCAAAAGAGTTTTAAAGTGGCATGTATTTAGTAGATTGGCTGAATTACTGGTTAATAAAAGGTGTGAAATAAAGCACTTTTTCAGTTTCAGTAAACATTTGTGTGGCATTCTTCGAAATGTGAAGCCAAGCATTGTTAGGATAGTTAATCAGTTTAGGAAGCTTTGATTCGATTCTGCTTTTAAATTGCCATTTGGGAACTGTATTTTCCATAATTTAATATCTAGTTCGGTGGCAATAATTAACAGTGTAACAGTTAATTTTTTATTCCATCATACCTAAAACATTACGTTTTTGAGATGCAACCTCCTCTCGATGTAAAAACGGAGTTTCTTTTAGCTTAGCCCATGATTCTTTCATTCTGACGTTGTCGTATAGTACCCATTTCTTATTTCCAGTAATGAACCATTTGAAAAATGGAGCTCCTTTATTATTTAGTTTCAGCAAAGAATCACATGCCAAAACTCTACCAAGCATATTCTGCTCTGTTAAAGTATGTGGTACCCATACTTTGCAATTTACATGCCTGATTTCTCCAAATAATCGTATACTGTACTTGTCGGAATATTTATCTGGAATGTGGATTTTCAGCAGTAGCTGGAAATAATGATGTGGATAATAGATGATAACAATGTGGATTTCCAGCAATAGCTTTTTTTAATAGGCCATTGTTTGCAAGGGAGGGTCGTCCAGCGTGGGCATCGTCATCGAGACTGAATTTTCTGCACTTTGATATTTCAAACTATCTTCGAATTGTGTCATTAGAAATAGCACTTTGTCCATATACAGCACAAATATTTCGAGCAGTCTGACTAACAGGCTTTAATTTTCCAAAGTAAAAGTGCATAGTATGACGAAAATAAACTTTTGAGCTCTCCAATCGTAGAATTGAACAGAAACATAAATTATGCCACAAAAGAAATTAAAAAAGCTATTGCTAATTAAATTAGTAAGTTATTAGAAACTTATTTTCTTAGTTTACATTTTATATATACACACACACACATATATATACAATGGAAAAATTTATAAATGGCATGCAAAAATTTCAGTGAAAAATCATTTTAACGCTAGTTAGTCCTTAAATTCTGTTTGTTTGCCTATTAAGTCGGAAAATGACACATTGCACTTGAAACTGGGGTGAATAAACAAAAATAAAAAATAAATAAAATTCAATTCCGAATAAAAAAATATAATGGTGTTGTGTATAATAAAAAAAAATTAAGAAAATCAACTACTAAAATGAATTATTGGAAGAACCCTACATTTATAAAATGATATATGAGTATTGTAATTTCTTCGTAAATAATTTATGAAGTGTGCATAATTTCTTTAATTAGCTGTTTTATGTTTGGAATCTTTATTGTCGCTTCTTTCTTTCTGTTTTTCCGCCAGAATGCAAATTAATTTGCGTGTATTTAAGTGAGGGCTTGAGATTGCTAAGATAGAGTGTATTTCGCCTCTTGAAGGCGATGTTATTAGGTTTCCTATTCTAAGATAGGAGTTCTTGTGTTCGGCTTTGCATTATTCTTACCGATAGTTAAATTGACGCCGGTGAAGTGCGAGTCAACTTCGCGATTAAATTACTCTGTGAAGCCTTTGGCTATTAATATTTAAATTTAGTTTTACATTTGAATTTCTATTTTGAGTTCTCACCACAAATGCTGGTGGATTTGTAAGCACCTGGTGTGCCTTCTGTTCATCTATTTTAGTTTAAAATAAAGGATCTTATACATTTTTCCAAGTCTCTGTTGCATTTACAGACATAGCGATACATCTATCAGAGGTCTGGTCACAGTGTACAATAGCGGCGAAAACCTTCAAATCTTGCAAGTTCTTAGAACAAGAAAAGAATGGTATTGCATACTAATAGATTTAAATAATTCACATTACACGCGAAAGAGAGAAAAAAATATCTATAATCATGTGCCCTGGCTTGAAAATCGTTCTCCGTTAATATCACATGATCACACACAAAGCTGTGTTAAAATCATATTATAATACATACGTAAGATAAAAAAATATAAAAGTCAAAATTACTAATTTTAATTTGGCTACTTCGCCTTCCTGGAATCTAAACTGCATCAATTCTGTTACTCAATGGCAACTCGTAGTGCAAGGCAGCTCTGTCCTGTTATTCAATGGCAGAGCTTAAAATTTTAACAAAGGAATCGAGTTTATAAGTACCCTTGTTACCACTATGCAGCCTCTTTTTTCTACTTCGCCTTCCTGCTGCTTAAGACTACGTTCAGACGGCGGCGTAAAGGGCATAGAGGCATAGTCATAAGAACATAAAGTAGAGAATTCCGTTCACACTTTGCAAGAACGGGGTGTAAGCCGTGGCCAATGAGAGAAGCTAAATTTGCGCATGCGTGGATGTGTCTACAACTTTCCAGCGCTGTTCTCCTGCTCGATTAATTTCCCGCGTTCGCTCTGCTTGTTTTGTGACAGCGAAATCTTCTGTAAAACGCCGCTTCGTGTTAGCTTCACTCTGATTGATCGACGCTTATCCCAAACTCTTCGTAAAGTTGAAAACTTGAACCCTATGCTACGAGCCCTAAACCAGATTTTGTGACGTAGCACAGACTGGTTGCCTTGGCAACGGTGCTCGGCTTTAACCACTTATGCCCTTTACGCCCCCGTCTGAACGCAGCT